AAACGTAAGCGCTCATATACACGCGCATATGTTACAATGTGTAATCAATGAAACTGCTTTGGTTCAAATAATTAAAATTATTGTGTCAAGCCTCTCAAAAATTACTGTTCTAACTATAATAAGCTGAAGCAAGGGTGAGGAATCCGCCCCTATCACTCCACACCAGCGCAAGCTGACCCGCAGATGATGCCCGAGCAGTGCAGCCCAAAGCCGATCGTTTGTGGGATCCAATGCATCGCCCGTGTGTCACCTCCTCGATCTGGCACGCCGCCAATGGCATGGCATGCCGCATGCCCGGACTTCGCCTCCACCAGGAAGCTTCACCTGCGTCGCTGACTGCAAATTGGATAGATTGTCGTCCCGGAGGTCCTGAAGACAATCCAAACTGCGACTAGACAGAGGAGTGTGTGGCACAAACCTCACAAAGTTGCCCGACGGAGCTATATCTGGCTGAGCTTCATCTGACGGAGAGATATAACTGGAGAACAAAAACACATGGCAATGTCTTGTGTGGAGCTTCCACATGCCGCAGCCGTGGTGAACTGATGCTAATCATAAAGTGTCCGACTACTGACATCATCCTCTAACTCGTTGTCGTCGTTTTGTCACGGCAGATGTCCTCATGTGAGAACTAAGTCGTGAGGCCATCACTGCTAGGTGTTCGCTTGAACGGGGTTGGTCGGAATCGAGAGACGCGAGTTTTACTCAGGTTCGGCCCCCTCGCGATGGAGGTAAAAGCCTACATCCTGCTTGATTGCAATTGATGATGATGATCCCGATTACAAGGGTGCTATTTCGCTATCTCTATTCTCGAGAGCTTCTATTTTCATCTTGTCTAAAACTTGTCTGTCTATCATCACATGTCCTCGTCTTTTGACGACCCCGGAGCCCACTTTATATAATAGCAGGGTCCCTGGGGTTTATAATAGGTTTCGAGTCCTACTCTTAATTGGAGTCCTACTCTAAGTCTTGTTGGTCTTTTGTGCCTTTCAAGTTAGAAGTATCCATCCGGTGTATGATCCTTTGGGCCGGCAATAGCAAACCGGGTCTCCTCTTCCGAACCAATCAACCCAAACCGGGTCAATCCTCCACCGGGTCTCGCTTCCCTTGTCATGGAACTTTCCTCTTTTTGGACCTTCTCTCCGAGCCAGCCCATTGGGCTCCTGTCAAGCCGGCCTCCTGTCGGGTCTCGTCACTAGGCCCTAGATTCCTCCTTGTCATCTTATCTTAACACGGAAAACAGGGCGACCCATAGAGCCTTCAAGCTCTAGGCCGGGTCAAACCTTTAACCGGGTTATAACCGTGGGAAATATCCCCAATATTAGCCCCCAGATTAGCTTGAATTTATTCATGCTAAGCTCCTGAAATAAGAATAATAATTATGATAAAGGACCAGCTCGTTCAAATAGCCGGCATATTCAATGAACCAGCTCCTGTAAAAATCCAGGTTTCTTTGTCATATCAACACTCTGGCTTCATAATCAACTTGCTGACACTGAATCCTCACAGGAAAATATCACATCTGATGTTGAGCCAGTTTTCAGTGCTTCACTTGATAAAAATTTTGGGAATAAAAACCCATCTGATGTTGAACCGGCTTTCTGGGCCTTCTAAGAATAGCTTGGAGCAAATAAACTTTATAAATTTTTCCTTCGAGAATATGAGACCCAGTTCGCTCAAAACTGAAGACTTGAAGGTATTCCTTCCTTATATCCATATTACGTGTAGGCCCCAAGTCTTAAGAGTGGAAAGTAGTGAGAGATTAAGACTTGCTTAAATATAAATGTTGCAACTTTTGAGAAATCCAGGTTGTTCATCTGAGTCACCAATCATAAATTGAATGTTTTGTATTTCACATGTGTAGCCCCCAAGGGCCGGATCATCAGTATGTGATGGGCTGGGTCTTCAATTTGGACCTTATGGCCTGTTTAAACAACTGAATGTTGTAGCCCGCAAGTGTCGGGTTGTCTTGGTTGAAGCAACCTGGGGCTTGAACTTAGTTTTCGATGTTTGTAGATGTATAGCTACAAATAGTGCATCCCCCAAGGGTTGGGTTAGCTATGCTCATCAATCTGGAACTTAAACTATCTGTAGAGGCAATGACTGTAGCCCCCAAAGGTTAGGTCACGATTAATTGTGAGTCGGGTCTTATTTGTCGAAACTCTAAACTTTGCCAGGATCTAGTGGTAGCCCTTAGGTGTCGGGCCATCATTATGGGATGGGCCGGTTCTTCAATTGAAGTTGTTTAAAAAGACAATACATTAGCTCCCAAGTGTCATGGTGCATGCTTGCAACAACATGAGACTTTCATTCTGAATGCAATCTTGAATTGAATAATGTAGCCCCCAAGTGTTGGGTCGTGTGCCTGTGGCAACTCGTGATTCTTCCTTCTATTGTAGAATAAAATCAGATCCATTGTAGCCCCCAAGTGTCTGGTCGTATTGCCTGCAGCAGCTCAGGACTTCTGAGTCTGAGGGACAGTCTACAGCAGAATAATCATATTTCTGAAAAAACATTGATATTCGGCCCGATGGTCTTGTAATAAACTAGGAAATTTAATGTCCTTATCTGGATGATGTTGCTGGGTCCTTTGCATATCAATGCTGAATTTGTTGCCGAATCCATCACGAGTGCTGCCTTGCATAACACTTCATATTTCATTGCCTTTAATAAAGCCAGTTGCCATGATCTTTGCCATGATATCCTTACTTGAATTTTTCTTCTTCATTGTAGCATTGGAATGATCCAATTTGCGAGTTGCCATCAGTAATTTATTATACCATACTCCGTCTTGAATTTAGAAAGAATAGCCATCTCTCTAAGTTGGCTGCAATTTTTTCAAAATCGGCAGTGATAGCCAGCGTGTTGGTTACCGAACGAAATTTTGAGATTTCGCGTGGTTACCGCGTTTATCGACCCCCTCAAGACACACTCATAGCGAGCAAAAAATTCAAATATTATGAAAATTTTGAATTCAAATGCTCACCTTATAGTCAAATATACGCCACTATAAAAACAAAACTGGTCATGGCCTAGTGGCAAAGCGAGTTTGAGTCTGGGCTCACGCTTTTTTTATTTCTTTTTGAAGATATAAAAGTTAAAAAACCGATGTCATGACATCTTCAAAGCGGACCCTCAAACCTTCACTATATTCCACCACATGCATGGTTCTCAACTACATACTCTCCTCCCAACCGGTTTACTTTGTGAATAGTATTGGATGGCTCCCTCCCGTGTCATGTCCGCGGACCATGTCCGGACAGAAAAATGAATATATACTGGATACATTTGCCGGTCAGCTTTGGAGATGCCCTATAATTATGGGAGTGACCAGGGGTCGAACTCGTGTCATATGAGCAAGCGGCAGTTGTGGTTGAACAACTGATACGGCAGGGCAAGGTTGGTGGTATTTAAGAGTTAAATACTTACCTATATCGAGTTCAAAGAATTAGAATTCAAAATTTCATCCGATTTTTTTTGGTATTTCTTGGTTACCGTGAATTTTGGTACCCCTCGAGAAAAAAGGTCCACTCGGGGCCTTTATCAACAATTCGACACCACTCTGATAAATGACAACAACATAGGAAAAGCCAAAAATCAATATTCACATTGCCACAGCTGCTCCAACTTCATCGGGAATGAATAATTTGAAGACCCTACAAGACATGGTCCGGGGTACTCAGATCCACGGTTCTCCACCCTCCCATAGCTACAGCGGTCGACGGAGGCCAGGGGAACCCGCAGCGGCACAAACGTCTTTAGGGGATGTGCAAGTCGCTCCTGATCGCTCTTCTCAGGAAAAATGTTTCTGCATATGATAGTTGTTTAGATGATCTTCATACATTTTTTTAGGGATACCTTTTGGTTTTTGTTACTTCTGGATCTAGTGTCTTGTTGTTTGTATTACTTTTAACCGCATTGTTTCAGATTGAGGATTAATTTGTAAGTGGATGCTCCCTCCGCTTTTGTATTCAAGGCCGCGATGTTATTTTTCAGATATCAAGAAAAGAAACAAACTAATAAATGGCACAACTAATTGTGTGAAAATCATCTCGTGTTTTGTGCTAATTAAACATGTTGCATGTGGTCTCTCTTTCACTATGTCTGCGTGGAAGGTTTGCATTAATAAGCATCATCGTACATGGCAAAATTGAATCAATTCTCCCTGTAGAGATACAAATTCTATTTTGATAGTGGCGCTGTATCTAAAAACCAGAGAGAGTACATTCTCAAAAAACAAAAACAAAAACATAGAGAGTACTCCCTTCTCCAGGATGAAGAGTATGACGAAATTAATTACAGGTCGAGGGGAGTGAAGCACTATGTACGTATGGCTTTCTTTTCCTCGGGAATGTTGGCCCTCAAGAAAATATCAGATGTAGACTACATACACAAACGAAGGGCAACCAAGATACAACAGAAAGGGATCAACTCTTCACAGATGCTGATTTGGAAAGAAAGGAATGCACGGGTTTTCCGCAACAATCATGAAAGAGGCGAAGAGTGGGTAATTGCTGGGGCTAGATTTTCGGGGAACATTTTCCTGCGAGAGTGATCCCTTTTAGTCGGTCCTGCATCGTCCTGTAACACTTAAAACTATGTTTTCCTCCTTATTTAATGAGATGAAGCAAAACTTTTTCCCCTGTTAAAAAAAAGACATAAGTGCATTTTATTCATTAATTTCCCTTGGCGTTTAAGACGACCCAGAGTCGGTCGTCGCTGGCCAGTGTGCAGGGTCATGGTCGTAATTTTCCTTGATGTTGAGATGACACCCGACTCTTGTGTCATCATTTTGTGTCTAGCTATCACCATTCTAATCGACTACTTGGCACTAGCCTTGACTAACCAGAGAAATCTGAGCAATCCCGTCTCAGTCTGCACGCGTACTTTGTGCCCACCAACCAAAAGAGTGCCCGAGGGAAACTAGCAGCCAAGGGCCCAAGGTGATATACAACACAAAGCTCAAATTCAAAGCCTCTCGAGCTACACCCAAAGAAACAATGGCGTCCCTGGCCGGAGCTGTCCAACTCCTGGTGATCACGCAGCTGGTCGTCTCCGCGCTGAGGCTCTTCCTAACAATGGAGGCATGTAGTTGCTTTTGCTTTGCAGATCCGATCCTCCACATCAATCCACGTCCTTATTCCCCCCGCCGATGCCGCGGACCGCTGCGGTATATCAACACTCACCGTGGAACACTTAAACTCAATAATCTCGAAGCCTTATTAGTCGTCGAGTTGCAGCAGCGACGTGCAAGGTATGAAGTTGATGGCAACATCTCCAAGGCTTCCGATTCCAGGTTTGATCACTCTACGAGGATTTATCTCATCTCACTGTCGTGAGAATTTCTACTGGAAGCCGACCATTTGTAAGAATTTGTTGGGTGCCAGGTGCATGGGACATGATGTGCTCGAGCATATACTTGATGGCACAGAGGAGCCGACGAATCTACCGTTCGAGCTTCTGAAGAACATCACCAGAAATTTCTCCGAAGAGAGAGAAATCGGTCATGGTGGATTTGGAATGGTTTACAAGGTAACACTGACTTTGCAAAGAATATTACGTACATGTATGATATTATGCACCTGCAAAATTTGACTTCAACAAGATAAAAGCAAACTTATGTGGCATGTTGTTAGGCCGGATTGTTTGGTGGTGGGTGTATTACCAATATCGAGTTCTTTGGGGACCACTATTTTGGAAAAATAAATAAAGAAAGAGATAAAAAAATTCACAACTGAGATGATCATTCTCCTTATACTGATAAGAGATGTCAACAGGGTGTGCTCCGAAATGGGATTGTTGCTGTGAAGAGGATTTTCAGCCACCACACAATCAATGAAACGTTATTTTATCGTGAAGTTAACAGTCTATTGAATGTTAACCATGAAAATGTAGTCCGATTTCTTGGATACTGTGCTTGTACCGAGGAAAAGGCAATGCGAATTGAAGGAGTAAGAGAATATATTTACGCCGAGATAAGAGAAAGACTGCTCTGTTTTGAGTATATTGGCAACGGGAGCCTTCGTGAATATATTACTGGTAAGATAATGTTGCATGTAATTCATTTCCTTTCTTAACCTTTTTATGTTCAATCGCTTTTGCTTCTACTTAGATGTCACGGTCAAAAATTAAAGTGATTGAGTAGAAAATAATAATATTGTATACATCAGCTTGTAATTCTTCATGCACAAATGAAATGCCAGACCACACCATGCTTTCCTGATATTGTTTTTCTCTCTTCGCAGACGAGTTAAGGGGGCTTGAATGGAATACACGCTATCAGATAATAAAACAAATTTGTCATGGTTTGCATTACCTACACATGGAAAATCATATTCTTCACATGGATTTGAAACCTGACAATATACTTCTAGATAAAGACATGGTGGCAAAAATCTCGGACTTTGGATTATCAAGACTGGATGAAAAATCACAAACAATGGACGCAAAACGTTGTGTAACATTGTAAGTTGTGCATTAAAAGAACCAATTGTTTTTGGGGCATTTACTCTCTTGCATTCTCCTTATAGGATCATGTATTAAAATTACCGTATTTTTGTGCAGAGGATATTGCTCTCCGGAATACCTACTTGGTGGTAAGATGTCAGTCAAATCAGACATGTATAGCTTGGGTGTAATAATCATTGAACTGGTGACAGGATATAAAGATATCCCCGACAACAATAATGTAAGAATAGTCTTATCTGATGGTCCCTTTCTTGAAGTTGGCTAGAAACATGGTAATATGCATATTGTTAGTATTTATCCATATAATGCTACTAAATTGGCATAATATATTAATAGGCTACTTCATCGCATATTTTTTTTGTATCAGAATAACAATTTAAACAAGGTGATCCTTTGCACTCAAAGCCCCTAGAACAAGAGAGCTCTCACGATCGCTCAGGGATTATTGGCCTCTGGCCTTTGTCTACGCCATTAATGTTATGTTCCTCATTACCACATGGTCATATAAAGCACCCCTGTATCTACACCCCTGGCCTCTTGCTAACTCAAATATCCACCACCATTTTTTCAAGTTTCTTTAGGAACTAGCCACCCAAATACCCAAGGTCATGCTTAGCAGCATCTTTTCGGACAAATTTGGGCATGCTAGGGTCGATTTATCGTCAGTGGAGGGACATCTTCAAGATATGGTGCCCCTGTGAATGTTGTTATTTCCTCCTCCTCCTCCTGACATCCTTTGTAGGTGTTTGAGTGGGAAGTTTGGGCCAGGAACACAACTATTTAGACTCTTTGTGTAATAAGAAAAATGAGCGAGCGTGCATACTTACATCTAGATTCTGTATTTTTGCTTTGTCCTAAATAAGCTATGTGAAATGGTAGGTACTGAGAAGATGGAGACATAGATGGAATAAATCACTGAAGGAAACACCATGGTCTTACCAGAAATTACAAATAACTAAATGCATCGGAATAGGCCTACATTGTCAGGAAAGTGACCCATACAGACGGCCATTTATACGAGACGTAATACATGACATCGACAGAAATGAAGGTACTTTTGGACAAAACAACAACGCTGATGAATTTTATGTTGACCAGGTAAGCTTATATCATTCCTATGTCATCAGGATCCCTATTAGTTTTTGACAAGTACTTTAGGTGTTGTTTCTTGAATGGTTTTCCAATGTTGCTTTGGTCATCAATATCAAAACTATGCTTACTAAATTTATTTAAGTAGGGGTGTAAGATTTCTAGAAGCATCTTAAACTATTTATATACACATCCAACCTTTTCTTTGGACATCATACAAGTTATAGAATTTGATATATCATAAGTTAGTGAGTTTGTTCATAATAATGCATGCATTGCTCTTTTGTTGTAGGTAAGGCCTTGTTGGGATGATGATATGCTTGATATTGAGCCGCTTAAGCTACATTTCCAATTTGAACTTAACAAGAAGATATCATGCCTACTTCATCTAGCCAACGGTACCACTACTACCATTGCCTTCGCTATACAATCCGTGAGCCCGATGCCATACTGCATACAACAGAATAAAGGAATTGTGCTACCACTATCTAGTTGTGCCATTGTGATAACATTACAACCACAAAGTAATCCACCAAAGGACATGCAACACCTGGGTGAGTTTGTCGTACGGAGCGCCAAAGTAATTGATGGAGTTACACCTGAGGAGATAACGTCAGACATGTTCAATAAAGTGTCAGGTGAAGTGGTTGATGAGGTGAACGTGGATGCTATTTTTGACATGCCACTACTACTTGGGGAAACGTAAGTATGCACGTGTAACACTCCTATTTAGCAACTAGGAATAAAATTTTGAATTTCGATAAACATGAATATCTTGTCGTACCAGCTTAATATGTTTCAAAGAAACCTTTATACTGGTCATGAGGAATGTAAAGCCATCTTAGGGAGAACTATGTTTTCGAGTGATATTTTAGTCTTCTTAACTTATGTTGTTGCAGGACTATTTTTTCAATATCATTGAGAATGGTACAATATACATTTTCTTGTGGACAGGGCATTTTAGCGCCTGAGCTCAGCTGGACCTGAAATCATGTCCATAGGTCCAGGCATGTTGATTGATGAAAATAGGGGCTGGCAGGTGCAGAGCGAGCTATAAAAAGTGAGCGTATTCATGGCAGGGGTAGAGAACAGTGCGGATACGGTGGGTCCAGAGCGTAGGCATGGCGTTGGTTTCGATTCCCTGACGGAATGACGTTGTGTGTTAGTTCCAGCCCGTGGCACAGAATAGGCTTGATTGAGCTGTTTTTGGGGGGGAACAGGCCGTTTGATTTCATAAGATACGTGACTCAGAATTTAGTCCGTTCTCGTCATGCGCGGCTGCAGCTATCCAGCCGCGGACCTACGGCTGGATAGGAATAGGAAAAGACATGTCATTTGGTTCACACCAAAGGAATTTTTCCATTGAGTCTAGGCTCATTTTTATTTTCCTATGAAATATGGAGGATAGGAACCAATCCTATGTAGGAATAGGAATTCATTCCTATGAATCAAAGGGCTCTAAAGGAAAAACTCCTATAAGAATCTTATCCTATAGAATTCCTATGAAATTCCTCCAAACCAGAAGAGGCCGTAGTCTGTATTTGATTGTACGTGTTCAATTAGTGGGATGCTTGGACTTATCTTTGTAATACCACGAGGGCTATGTGATAACTTGCGGTTTTATCTATCATTTGATTTGGTCTCTGATGGTGCCCAATGTGTATGGTCAAGTGGTGGCTTGCATGTAGAACTAGCAGACATCTGGGTAATGAATTGCTCCTGCAGCCGCCTAGTGATGGATGTGTCGAGCCTATCTCCACACAACCAGCAGGCGACGGGGAGGAGTTCCTGACGATGCGCGATTGAGGACAAGATCCTGATGCCGACATCTGGTGTTTTGGCCAGGCGTACATGGGTATTCGGAGGAGAAAGGTGATCTGGAGAACAGAAGGAAGGAGTGAGGAGCGGAGGTAGATGTGGTATGCTAAGATCATGTTTGATGGATCCGTCGTCCGCGACAGACCAGGTAGGCTCAGAAAAGTCTCTGTTCCGTTTGTATTGTTAAGGACCTGGACGGCGATCTCCTCAACAGATAGTAATAAATGTGGTAGGCGACTTAACTGATTTAACAACATACACGGGAGATACGACCAAGAAATACGGCAGGAGGCCCACATCGCGAGGACAACAGACGGGTCCATCTGAGCACGGGATCAGAAACGAATTTTCGTTTTCTTGTCTCCTACTGTCAAGCCTAACGACTTGTCACTAGTGCAGAATTGTACTATTAAGCCACCTATAGCACATGATAGCATCAAACTGTGTGCGATGGATGCATCACACACATTACAAAAATCGAACCATGTGCCTGAAAGAGAACCGCGTGCGATGGCAACTCCATTGCGCTAGAGAATTGGGAAGGGGCTCGTGTGCAATATTAGGCACACATTTCAGTTGTCCAATAACCCATGTCAATGTCAACACACAGGATTGTTGCATGTGAATTTTGTGTGTTACATGGCACGCGATTCAAATGAACGGATTGTGAGCGGTGATAGGAACCATCACATGCATTAGAGAATATATATACAGAGAATAAATGCATCGTGTGCCGAGTTCCTCACATGGTTGGCGGAATACAAAATCCTCTGTGATGTTTGCGTGCATCACGCACGTTCTACAAACTAGCTAATTTTACGTGTGTGTCGCAATGGCGGCATACATATGGTTCGACGCCAATCATGTCTGACATTAACTTACATCCACCATATTCTAGATTTTGATAAGATTTGATTTGAGTATGGGTAGGAAAGGGAAGGAATGTTTTGGTTTAGTTGAGCTTTTGGTAAGATATTGATTTGATTCGGGTATGGGTAGGGGGAGGCAAGGGAAGGGAAGTTTTCATTTAGTTGAAGTTTTTGTAAGATTTGTTATAACAATTATACTCTATAGGGACCTCCCATACAGTCTTTTTTTTTAAAGAAAAATGATTTGAATTGATTGAGTTGATCCAGGACATGGTTTGGGAAAGATTCTAGTTTGTTAATGTAGGACATGGGTTCCACGAGGACAAGAAAACGTAATGTAGGACATGGAGTATCAGTTTGATTTAGATTACTCCAAAAAGGGGGGAAAAATAGCCCGCTTGTTTTTTTTAATCAGAAAATAGCCCGCTTGTGGAAATGAGAAGAATTTTTTTTTTGAGGGTGGAAATGAGAAGAATTGAGAACTGGAGAAACAGACGGAAGAAACTGGAATCGAAACAGACAACACTTTTTGGCCCCTTTTTTTTAGTTTAGGAGACATACACTTAACTGCGTACTGCTGTGGTAGCGGCGTAGCGCAGCTCCCTCGCTCTCACTCTCACTCAACTTTCTTCCGGCCGACCATCAATCCATCCATCGGCGCAGCTCGGCCTCGGCGCCGGCGATGATGGAGACAGAGACGGCGATGGAGGCCGGCGACGACCCTGCGTTCGTCGCGGAGGGCACGGTCACCTGCATCAGGCTCGCCGTCGCCTCCAACCAGGAGATCGTAATGACCAAGCCTTTCTTCTCCCTCCACTTCTCTTTCTTCTCCTTCGTTCCAACCAACCATGGCCTCTTCATCTTCTCCTCCTCGTTCTTCATCTTTGCACCTTCAGAGCAAAACATCCGACATTGATGGTCGCCACCATTGTGCAGGTGAGGGCGCAGCCGATGAAGGAGGAGTTCCCGGTGACGCACCCGAGCCAGCTGGCCGGGAACCCCGCGCTGGGCCTGCCGCTGCAGCTCGGCCACTGCGACTCCTGCGGCACCACCGACCTCGCCAAGTGCCAAGGTGACTCACTGCTTACTTGCTCTCTCTGTTTCACCTGCTTTTTTCGAAAAGGGGGGACTCCCCGGCCTCTGCATCTGAGTGATGCATGCGGCCACATTTATAAATAAATAAAGTGGTTCAAACAATGTCTTGCAATGTGCTGCAACAAAGGAGGCTGGCTCACAAAGAGCTAGCGAAATAAAACAAGGCCCAGACGCCACAACCGGCTGGCATAATATAGAGAGATAGGTAAACTAATCACCTATCCTATTACATGACCGTCATCCAAACCGGTTGAAGATATCCCGCGCTACCATCTCCCATCTGTTTCACCTGCTACTAACTGCAATCCGTATAGTAGCTTGCTTGGTTAGCCCATCAACTAATCCATGCAGAGAGCAAAAAAGAATGGAAGTGTCGCTGAACGTCTGCAAACAT